CCAGTGCTGGTGGGGCCCAGAGCAGGGTGGCAGGAGTGCGGGGCCCTAGCTGGCAGGGGCTCTATGGAGCTGGGCCAGCTCCCCCCCTCCCTGCTGGTTCAGCCCAGCCTGGCTCCACAGACCCCTGCCAGCCTGCGCCCTGCTTTGGGTCCCACTGATGCTGGCCCTGGGACGTTGGTCCCAAGATGGTGACCAGGGGCCAGGGCATCTGTCAAGGGGTGGGTTACCTGTCAAGGGGCAGGGCTACCCATGTGGCCCTTGACTGCCTACCAAAATTGGGTAAGCAGCCCTCCACTCAAATTAATTGCCCGCCCCTGGCGTAGGGTCAGGGACCAAGGCAGGACCACAATCCACTCTGCATATCCCTGTGATGGGTGACGGTTCCATGGGCAGGATCATGTGGGGAGTGGATTGCAGCTCTACCTAGGCCCTGTGCTATCACCACCCAAAAATCCCAGGGTCTCGGTGGAGACTAGCCGGGACCCAGGTTGGCAGGGTGCATGGCTGGATGAAAAGGCTGGGGCCATGGGTGCACAGGGTGTGGCATCCGGGAGTGGAATGGGCAAAACTGCTGCTGAAACCCATTCCCTGCACACCCCTGCCTGCAGAACTGGCACCCATCACAGGGATGTGCGGGGAGTGGATTGTGGCGCTCTCTGTCCCCAGCCCTACGCTGTCATGACCCCAAGATCCTGTCCCTGCCTGCCTGTCTGTTCCATTTCCAGATACCACTCCATGCCTGCCCACTGTGGTCCCAAAACAGTCTTCATGGAGACCCTGCCCGCCTGCTTCGTCTAGCGAAAGCAGTGACACTAACAGTGGTAGTTGGAAAGAGCCACTGCTGACATGGCTGCTAGGAAGTGAGTCTGGCCGCTGTACCGCCCCAGATATGCTGCGTGCTCAGGGGTAGTAAAACCAGCTGCACGTGCCAGAACCCACGCTGCCCCCTGTGCCTGGGCTGGGTGAGGCCAAGGGAGCTGCCACAGGCTGGACAGAATCCCTTGGTGGGCTGTATCCAGCCCATGGGCCATATTTTGCCCACCCCTGTCCTAGCATGGTCCTTTATTCTAAGATGCATTCAACATCAGATGTCTGTAGAGTGGGGGAGTCAACCCAGGTAATTTAAATTCCCCATCAGGATTCATCTGATTGCTTAGTCAGATTCTAATCTTTCTTTGTCCCTCTCAAGATTTCCTTTCTCCATAATCCTTATTTGGAAGAGAATTTACTAAAATTTACACTGTTCATGTAATTATCAGCTACCTCTTAATGCAGATGCCTACACCTTTTTATTTTTAAGTTCCATGCATTCTTTTATACAGTGCAGCTTGCATAACTTCTTTTTCCATGTTTAAAGTAAATGGAGAGGGGAAGGTAGCAGACAAGCTGTGTAGGAGTTTGTGGCATAGAATCTGTGCCTCTCAGTCTCCAGCTTGGAGACAGTTTCTGTGGCTTTTTTAAAAGAAAAAGGTACAGGCAAAAATAAATAAATAAAACCCCAAACCTGTTATATTAAGCGAGCTACTCCCCAATTATTATTGTTCCAATAAAAAAATTACAATTTCTGTTCTAGTTGTTCTAAAGAAATCCCAATGGCTGTTCTACTGAAATTTTGCTCAGAAGGGGATAATATCCCTGATGCACTTGCTCTGGTTAACTATCTTAATGAATGGCTCCAGCTAATTAAAAATGAAGTAAGTATTGTATCTAAAGTTCTTGGTTTCATATTTCTGACTATTAATTGTTTCAGTAGAAAATTACAAAGACTGTTTCAAATTTTAATTGAATTTTTGCTAACGTGCAACCCTCTTTCCTTGAAGACTCTTTCAAATTTTATTTGAATTTTCACTAACATGCAACCCTCTGTCCTTGGAAGGTTGTATTCCAGGGTAGATTTTGTCATTTTGTTGTCCAGGTTACTGGAAACAGATACGTTTTTTTACCATGTTCTTTAGGACCAAAAACCAGATACTGTATGTTTTGAGAATAATAGCATGTTAGGATGAAGGTATAATCCTGGTTGGCCTTATGGTAGCCTTCTCCAGGTAAATCTACAATGATTAGACAGCTGTGTGACTAAAGATAAAGGGAAAGGAAGTGGGGGAAATAGCTTTTTTTCTAGCTGTGGTTCCTGCCATTCTAAAATTTGAAAATAACATTGCTGTTTTTAAATCAGCAGAGCAGCAGTACCACAACTACCGCTTCACACTGGAAAATACCAAGTTCTTGGAGACTGTTATTTGGCAGTGGCCTTCCACCTGCACTCTTCTGATCTGTGCTGAATTTTTCTAAGTCACCTGTATAAAATATCTGCAACTTCCCCTACGATGGTAACATAATGGGCATAAGCAGCAACAGTCTAATTTGCTACAGACATTAATATCTCTTTATATAAGCAAGCAGATCTTTTCACATTGTGGTTATGTAAAGAAATTGACTTAACTTCCACTAATTGGCTAATGTGTGATATGTTTTGCACAATGGTTCCTTTGGACACCTGTTAGAATATTTTCTAATAAATTATTTTAAAAGGGCATTTTTGTTTTAATATCCTGTCCTATCGACCTTCGTCATGGAGAGCGCCATGTGGCCACCTCTAAGCATAGCAGATTTAGTAAGATCAATGTGAGAGTCCAGATTATTCATTCAAATATCAAAGTTACAATTAAAAAAAAATCAATGGAAGAATTTCTTAGTTTCCATATCTATTTGTATTGCAGCAATAGCAGAGATGAGCCCTCTGGGGTTAGGAGCATACCTCAGGAGAAACAGCAGCTGGCTTGAAGAGCTTCCAGTTTTATTTAGAATAGATGAAGAGTGTAGAAGTTAAAATGATTTGGCAACCTGTAGTTTGTGAAGAATTGGCTTCAGCTATTCAGAATAAGTAACTAATCACTTAGCACATATGGTATTACTCTCTTCCTTAATTGATTGAGTAAAGCCTTATGAATGAGAAGAACATTTTTATATAATTAAGAATGTATACTATTCACTTCCAGCAAAGGATGTGTCTGAAGATTCTCCAAACATTGCAATAAGTAAAAACCAAACAGGAATGGAAACTAAAGTGTCAGCAATTAATAATCTTTACTGTTCCTGAGAGTTTTTCATTCATATTTTGCAGCCTTAGGCATCTCTGGCTAATAATGCAGAATCAATCACACACCATAAAAAGATCTAGTTGGAGCAAATACGTGTAGTCTGAAATACTTTCAAATATAGTGTTTCAGAAGTCAGACATGAGTCCTAAATTAGAAGTACCGGTAAAATCTGCCAAGCCTAAAATAGTTTCAACATATGTAGAATGATGTGGGCATGAAAGAAAACTGTTACTGGTAATGGTTGAGCTAGAAGTATTTTGGTTTCATGTTTTTACTTGCCATAACAAGCTGCAGTGTTTCACACTGAATCTTCAAGCAGTATGAATACCTTGTCTCAGATTGATAGCTCTAAAGTCTGAATCTGGAACTAGCTTTAATCTTCAATCGACAAAGTAGTAACTAGGGATCCTGGTTTTCTCTGATTAAAAATTGAAAATTCTCCGATTAAAAACCCAAAATCCATGATAAAAATTGAAGGCCCCCCACAGCCCCTCCCAGTGCTGTGGGTGCCTCACAATCCCCCCCACAGTCTCAACAGCCCTCCTGATGCCCAGACCCACAGACATGCAGACACAGATATTGACACTCACCCCAGCAGGTAAGCATGTGTGGGAGGAGGAGCAGGGCAGGGCGGAGGAAAGGGAAGGTGGAGCTGTGTGGCCGGCCGCCGGGCGGCAGCGGCAGCATGGTGGTGGCTGGGCGGCACCCAGCCATTTCCACCACCACCTTGTGCTGTGTCGCTGCCACCGGCTGCACAGCTCTGAGCATGGCTCTGCGGCGGCAGCGGGAGGTTTTGGAGGCAGCAGCCATCACTGCCATAATGGGCCTCCATGTAAGTGGCAGCACCATGTGCAAGCCCAAACCGCCTCCCCCACACCCCCAGTCCCCATCCCTCGCTGCGGCTGCAGAGCCGGCCATGGAACTGTGCTCTGGCCACATGCCAGCCTCCCTCTCCCCCTCCCCTGGGTAGCCGGCCGGGCAGCATGTGTGGCCCGCACATGGCAGGCACCACCCCACTGTGCCCCACATCACTTGCCTGCAAAGCCCTCTGCAGAGGTGCATCCCTGCCCTCAACCCCTGGCCCTACTCCCAGCTGCAATGTGCCGCCTGGGGCTGGCAGCACCCCCCGCTCCCTCAGCCCCCAAACCATCTTCCCCAGGCCTGCCCCACTTACCTCCATGCTCCAGGGGTAAAGGGCGAGTGTGAGCCTAAGCCCAGCCTTGGCTGCCTCAGAGGCTTTGCAATTGACTCCTGCAGGCTGGAGCTGTGCCAGCTGGTGAGAGCTCTTTCCAAAAGTGGAGAATCCACGGATTTCTGTGCTAAGAAGAGAAATCCACGTTTCCTCCAATAAAAACAGGGAATCCATGGTTTTCTCCATTTTTTCTAAGGGAAACGGAAAACCTGGGTCCCTGGTAGTAACTTAAGCACACGTGGTGTACTTTGGCTTACAAGTAGAAGTTCTACACACTCAAAATATGTATGTAGACTGTTTTTCAAGTATTCATGAATGAGTGATGTAGCACCTTAGTTGCAATGAGAATAACATTGTCAGAACCACCAAGCATATCACAAGTATTTGAGATGACAATGCAGACAAGAAAATACATTAGAAGTTGAGCTGTGTTCGAACAGAGCAGATTCTGGAATTTGCATGCGACTACCCTAGCGGGTTTCAAACAACAGCTGGTTTTAAAGTTAAGATTTCATTTGGGGCTCATGGTCTTGTGATTACTTCCCAAGGAACAGAATCGTACTTATTGAAAAGTAGTCAGATATTGGTTAACCAGTTTTGCACTTTCCTAAGAACTTCCTGTAGTTTTCATCCCTGCAAATGCTATTATTGTAGGCCATGACCAGATATGCTGTTTGAGACCTGTACTCAAAACAAAAGGGGAAGGAGAGGAAACAGACATACATAACAGAAGAAATGCTTCAAAATGATCCTCAAAAACTGAGGAATATCTTTGAAGCAAGGACTTTCTGAAATGGCTGTATTACCCCTGTGATTCTTCAGTCTCTCAGTGCCCTGATTCCTCTGCCCCATCACCAGGGATCACGTGAGGTGTGTAGGGATTCCTGCTCTCCAGCCCCCTGCAGCCTTTGCTGCTATTGTGAAGGGATGAAGCGGTCTAGGCTAGGATATAGTTTGTGCATCAATGGCCATAGTTTGCATTTAGACAGGAAAAAAGTTACCTTCAGACATCTCAAGTGCAGTACTTTTCACCTTGAAGGATCTCCAGATTCTCCAGGAATGTAACACACTTCATGGGGATCATGTCATCCCTGACGAAGAAGGAACCAGAAGGTAGAATCTGAGAGCTGTTTCCAAAGCAGCACTGCTTCATAGTTTGAGGAGTTGAGCCTACCAGGCAGGTAAGCATTCCAGCTCCAGTCCAGTGAAGCACTTGGCTGGCTGCTTAAATTGAAGCCTGTGAGCTACTCTGTTTAAATCCCAAGGCGTACTCGCATGTTTAAGTGCTTGCTGGATGTAGAACAGACTGCTCAGCAAGGGGTTGCTCCTAAATCCAGGAAGTCAAAAACGCAGCTACATCAATTTTCCATTCCTTCAGCATAGCCTGCCAGTAACTAAAGAAGTCAGAGGGTTACTCCAGATATACACCAGTGTAAAATGTGAAAGCTATCAATCTTTAACGGCCCCAAATGGGGACTTAGTTCATAAGCCCCGAAGAGGAAAGGTTGAGGCTTATGAATATGTATAAGCCATAAGTGGGCTAGACTTTAGAATAACTAGAAGAGAGCTGAGTGGAATTAACTAGCTTTAGGTACTGAATGGAAGGTGTGTGGGTGTGGTTGGGACTCAGTAATTCTGGAATGTTTCATAAATTGCTGATAGCTAGAAATCTTTTTTGTGGGGGAGGAATCTTGTTAATAGCACAATCATGCTACTTCAGTGTGCAGACTGTTACCATGAATTCTCTTCCTTTGTCTCAATTTCTTTAAAACAATCTTCAACCTGGCTCAATCCTAGAACCTTACTCTAGTCCCACTTAGAGCAGTGAACTGCAATATGTTTCAAAGTGTGAACATAACTAGTGAAGGTAGCTATATATTCCTGTCACTCACTATTCCCTCCTTTGATTTATTACAGCCACTTGTGTATTGTCTTAAATGAGGCCCTGAGCCTTCAATTAGCGTGGCATGGGTGGACTATTGCACTGATATGTCTTCAGGAGCAAAAAATCAACTGAATTGCAGATGTTATTATATAATAAAATACCTTAATAGATAGTAAGTGTGACTTCTTGATGTGGGCGTGAACACCTCATGCAATAAATACTGCATGTGGCTGCAACTTTAGCTTGCTTAAAAAAAATAATAAACTCACTGAATTTAGTGGAAAGCATGTATGCATTGAAGAGGCATAATTAGGGTGTGCTTTTAACAACTATAGGTTAATTTTGTTTAAAAAAGTATTTTCTATGAAAGCTAGGTATTAAAATTACCTTGCTTTTTCAGAAGCTTTACTCAATAGTTTTTTCTTCTCATTTTTCCCTTTAAATAATTTGTTCCCATAAGCTTGCTTTATTTAGCTGGGTGTGTTTGGCACTTGTAGCTCTGGGGGATCAAAGCAATTACCTTAGTGAAACAATACAACAACGCTGTTCCCAGCAGAATTGAGTAAACTTTAAAAGGGTGACTCAATTCTCTATAAGGGACAATATTATGGTACATCTCCCCTTCAGCCTAATTTTCTACATAATACTCAACTGAATCAATATTTAACAAGTAAATATATATTTCTTTTAATAAAGATTTTATTGTTCAAATAATTTACTATATACCAGCAGCAGATTAGAAAGGACAGGATTAAAGCCTAGTACTAGAGGTTTTAGAGTGCTGATTATCAGCATACATCCATGTAGGTAAAATAACGAGTGAGTGAGTGGCCTGTGGCAATGTAATTTTAATGAAAAATACTACATGAATGCAAGTGCACACATCTAAGACACCAATTTAAATCTGTTTAAAAATGGACAGTTTCTTCTAATCTTGTGTTCAGTTCATTCTATTAAAATCTGATGGGTATGCTTTAATAGGTGTTATGTGACAGTCATTTACCGCAGCAAGTTCAAGCTACAGACACTCTTTATTAATTATAATACCCAAGAATTAACTTATTTTCTATATGTTGAGCAGTATGTGGAAAGCTGCAGTTAATGATAAAGGAGGTGCATTCAGTTTTTGTAGTTACTAAAAATCAAAGCAAGTTAAGTAAGAGATTAAATTCTGGCCAATGTAGTAATCTAAACAATGGAGAAACAAAGCAATGACAAGAGTGTGAGAGAAGCAAGAGGTGTGTAGCAACAGCAAGGGACTGTCTAATTGGAGCTCAGAGACAGAATGTGATAAACAAGTGCTAGTTTCCAGGAGTAAGCAAATTAACTTTTTCTTCCCTTGAATGGGCACAGTCAAA